GTTGTTAGATTCCAGAGACACAAACACAAGCTCTTTTTGCAGATTGCCAGCTTCAAATTTGGGCTGTGGAAGGTGAGGAAGTTCTAATATTTTTTTTTATAAATTTAATATTCCATGTACAATGCTTTCTTGACTAAGTTTGTGTCACTCTCAATTATTATAATGTTTATAAGAATTCTTCATGAGATGTTATTAACCTTTTAAGTCCTGTGAGTGACCAAGACAGAATTTCTTCTTACTACATCTATACAAAATCATGCAGACAAGTGATGAGAATAGAGAAAAATATCAATTATGGGATTACTCATTGATCCGATACCAAATTCTCCAAACTAACATATTGGGAATCATTTGGCAGACAGTAAGGAGAATTACTATTGAGATCTTGGGAGTTAAAGGGTTAAAGTACTAAGTGTAATGCTTCAAATTCCCTTTTCACTCTGCACAGTCTCTAAAATTATATATATTTTCCTCTCTGTCCTTCTAGCCCTATCAAGACTAGTTGCTTCATCATATACAGAAGATACATATGGTGTTGTACAAAAGGTAATTAAATCTCCATTTGTCTTTTTTCCTATTCAGTGAATGCCTTTTTGTGGTGGTGTATAATCTACAAACCTGGTTATTTTATTTTGTTGGCTTTGTCATGGAGTCAAACATTGTACAATAATATTCTTATTTCTCTTTCAGAGTCTTCCAAAAATTTTCGTCTCTCTCTTGAATTTACTTCAGGTGAGTCATTCAGGGACTTCATTACAATATTCGATTTTAGACACTCGTGGATTTTAGACCCTAGTGTCCCTAGTTACCCTAGTGTCCGATTTTGGATTTTCAACACAAGTGTGGTATTTTGGATTTTGGATTTTGGACACTATGGTTCCATTTTTATTGGATACTATTTTCCGATTTTGAACACCAGCTTTCAAATTTGGACAGTATTGTCCGATTTAAGTTTTCAATTTTAGAAAGAGGCCCCTTTTGCAGTCTCGTGACCAAAATTTGGATGTTAATGTTCGCTTTATGGCACTTCTGATTGTGGAGACAAGTTTGTGATTGTGGACACTGTGTACCGCCTTTGAACACTAGTTTCTGATTAGGGACATACATGCTTGATTTCTTTAACGTTCCTCAGAAACCGTTCTTACCTGCATTACCAAGAGAATTTATAGTTTATAATCTCTGGGCATTACTTACTTTTTTTTTTCGTTTTTTTTTTTTCTGGCGCTTAGGCTTTGGACCAACACTCAAAGCTATCATTGGCTTTAATCTCAAGACCAGAGATTCAGCCCAGACCTCCTCAGCCACAAGGGTATCAGTTAAGAGCAAGTAAGTATGGTGCACATCAGAAGAGACATTAAAATTTATTCCTCACACTGTAATCGTAAGAACTTAAATAATTTATAGAAAGAATACACGGTCCAGTGATTAGAAGTATTTAAAACAGAGTAGCTTTCTCGCGATTAATAGAAGTAATCCAGGGTGTATTAGTTCTGCTAAACCACGTTCTGTGATTGATCTAGAAAACTTGGTAGAACAAGTTTTCCCGCGCTTCATTTAGATTGCTTGTTCTTACTCCTTGCCATATTTTCCCTTGTTCTGATTGGCTTTTGCGATCACGTTGCTTTTGCTCGTGCGATACTCAATCCAAATGCAGTCTGAACCAATGGAGATTTGTTCCTCGCAATCTGCGAGTACAAATTTAGGTGTTTTTTTTCTTCAGTTTGAGCGCTAAACATGGTAGCGCAAAAGTGTGACCAAGTTAAGCGCTCCTAACTCAAAATAACGCCTGAAGTGTTGTAAAATCTTTCCTTTCATCGTGTAACTTCACAAAGAAATATCCAAAGGTTTTCTTGTTGGAGAAGCCTTGCCGAAACTTTACGCGTCGGAAGGAATTCGTTCTCACTTGCTTTGAAATGGTTTCTGTTTATCACTTCTCTTTCGTGTAGTTTGTATTTATAAATATGTTTTTCATTTTAATTTTTGTAGCACTCGTGTCTTCGATCTACAGAATAACCAAAATTTTCCATGAACATTTACGGTAAGTTCGACCTCTCCCTCTCATTAGAGATGTTTTTGTGGCAAATTAGAACGGATCGCTATCTATTTCTTCACCTTGTGATGATACGTTTTTAAACTACTTCCCTATGTTTGATGCTCACACCACAGATAGCCTGAGCTCACAGAATGACCCGCAATCAAAACGTTGCGCAATTGGCGAATTATAAGGATTTGTTTGAGAATAAATGATCGCACTCTCGACTTAAAAAATCTAAGCTAGTTTTGATTAAAGTCAAACTTACCTTGTCACAGTGGTCGTTCCTTAACCCTTAAACTCCCAGATCAAATTTGTAATTCTCCTTACTGTCAACCATACAATTCTCATAAAGTTAGTTCCGAGAATCTAGTATTTGATCAACAAATTATCCTTAACTTGATCTTTTTCTTTATTCTCATCACTTATCTGGTTGATATTGTATAGATATTGTAGGGAGAAATTCTATCTTGGTCACTCATGGGAGTTTAAAGGATAAACTAGTTTAAATTTTTAAGGTTGACAAAGCGACCGTTTATTCCCATACAAATATTTCGCCCAATGGCACAAAGTAAAGGTGTTTGCATATCTACGGAGGCTCATTGTGCTAGCTTGGGCTTCCTTTGACTCCTCAAAGGGACTTAGAACTGACAATCCCTGTCAATGTCTTTTATTTCACAGGAACCTACCAATGGCTGTAGAACATGAAAAGAAACTTGAATCGTTTTTGATGTTCAGAGAGTAGGATACAGCCTTAATGTACATTTTTTTGGAAAAATTAGATTCAATCTTAGACTTTGGTGCAATTTTTGGAATCCTTTTTTGAAAGTTTTTTCTTCCGAAAAGTGCCGTGTTTGGAAAGGTAGCTTTGTCAAAAGTAATTAAAAGAAGTACGATAATGTGCCTGCGTTTAGTGGTTTAACTTTGAAAACTTGGTAAAACCACTTGCAGGACTATTTTGATTATTCCCTTTTGTGTTAGTGCAGCTTGATCAGAGGTAAAAGGAGAAGAATTCTTATCATGTTGTTAGTAATTCGCGTCACTTCAAATGGGTTTGGACTTTACTACTGCTTTTTGGAATTCTTTCTCTAGATTGTGAATAAATAGTTATTTGTGAGTTATGATTAGAGGGTGTGGCTGGCTTGGTGTTCTTTGTTTTTATTTAATTATCATTAGCTAGTTATCTTAATTAGATAAACAATTAGACATTCAACAATACCTAATTTATCGTTAAGTTCAAATGCAAAATTGTCGTGAGGCAACACGTCTTAACGCGCTGCTTTAAAAATTTGGAATATGGTTTTTGGTGCGATTTCAAACATGTCCAAAAAGTGTCCTAAGAGTTGTTTTTGGACGACTATCGGCGTGGGTGGGGCTCTTATAGCTGCCCTTACGTACAAAGCAGTTCAAGCCCGCGATAAGGCTGCAAAAGATTTCGATGACCGCGGCTTCCCTGCAATGGCGGACTACCCCGATCTCCGCCACCACAACAACTTGATGGCGAAGCATCTGACACCGCGCTTGTACAGCAAACTTCGCGATAAAGTGACCTCCAGTGGATTTACATTGGACCAGGCCATTCAAACTGGTGTTGACAACCCCGGTCATCCTTTCATCCTCACTGTTGGAGCCGTTGCAGGAGACGAAGAGTCGTACGAAACTTTCGCGGACCTTTTTGATCCGATTATCGAAGAGCGCCACAATGGCTTCAAGAAAACCGATATGCACAAAACTGACTTGGACGCCTCTAAGATCCGTGGCGGGAAATTTGACGATCACTATGTGTTGTCTTCGCGCGTGCGCACCGGACGATCGATTCGTGGGTTCAGCCTACCGCCTCACTGTTCACGTGCAGAGCGAAGGGAAGTGGAAAACATTGTTTGCGAAGCCTTGGACGGTCTGAAAGGTGAGCTGTTTAACTTGTGAAAGAAAAATCTGTTGCGCGTGCGGGAATAGTACTTTAAAATGATTTTAAAAAGCCTCTTTGTAATTTTGTACAAAATTGAAAATGGAAAGGGCAGGTTTGGAGAGGAGGAGGTCAAGTTGGGATAAAAAATCTCTATGCAAAAAAATTTACTATGTTCACGCAAATTGATTAAATTGAGTTTATTCCAGATCATGATTACTTTTTCCACACGTGGTTATTACCGACAGTAACGGAATGATTAAGCATTCCATAATTGTTCATTTTGAAATTGCGTCACAATGAATAATTTTTGTGTGTTTTTATTAGTTCACAAACATACTAGTTTAGAACAGTAAAGGAAATTAGAAGGATCAGCTCGCGCCAACGCAAACGTGTCTCATGTTTTCTTAAATTTGAACTACGAAAGCGCGCGTTTTTGTCCTTTTACTTTAAGGAGTAACATGACATGATTCGTTGACCTCTTCACGACTTTCAGGTAACCTTTCTGGAAGCTATTATCCTCTGAACGGTATGACCGCAGCCGAACAACAGCAGTTGATTGACGATCACTTCCTGTTTGACAAACCAGTCTCTCCACTCCTCACGTGCGCTGGCATGGCACGTGACTGGCCTGACGCGCGTGGAATCTGGCACAACAAGGACAAGAACTTCCTTGTTTGGGTCAACGAGGAGGACCACACGCGTGTCATTTCCATGGAGAAAGGAGGAGACATGCGCTCAGTGTTTGATCGCTTTTGTCGCGGGCTCAATGAAGTGGAAAGACTTATCAAGCGCAGAGGACACGAGTATATGTGGAATCAACACTTGGGTTATATCCTCACGTGTCCATCCAATCTTGGAACCGGTCTTAGGGCTGGAGTACACGTCAAACTACCCCACCTTGCCAAGGCAAGAATGTTGCTTGTCATGTTAACCAAGTGAAAGCTAAGTTTAAAACTCAGCGCAAATCCTAAAACACCAGTGGGCTAAATAGCAATTGATGTGGAGTGGTTTCCAAAACGTTCCTTGAACTCAACATTCCTTGACGTTGAGGGGTCTTTTTACAATAAAACATCTGTGCACTTCCTAGATATCCACTTTGCCCCCTCTGCATCCCACCAGCCTACCCCTTACGGTTACTTCTGTGCTCTTTTCGAAATCATGTAGGTTGTCACGGAAAATCCTTCCAGTTGTTAGTCAAATATTCCCAGATATCCGTGATATCGTAAAGAGGAAGGGTAAAGACTATTCAAAAAGATGGATAATTTTGACATGAATTTACGACACGTTTATTGAGTGATTTTTATTAAACGTGTCTTGTTTTCTAGGATTCAAGATTTGGCGACATTCTGGACAAGTTGAGATTGCAGAAGCGCGGAACCGGTAAGATCGAATGTTTCCTCAAGAAAACGTAATGTTAGTTTTTGGAGGGCGCGTGATATAATCATTTGGTTTTCACTGAGCATGCTTACTTGTGTTTTTTCATTTCAGGTGGGGTTGACACGGCAGCCGTCGGAAGCACTTTTGACATCTCCAACTCAGACCGTCTCGGTTATTCGGAGGTGGAGCTTGTTCAGACCGTGATTGACGGCGTCAATCTTCTCATCAACATAGAGAAGAGACTGGAAAAGAACAAGGGCATCGACGACCTCATTCCCAAATAAGGAGTTCGTGACGGATGCTGGTTGCTGTTGCATTTGCTTTGTTGCATCGCTTACTTACAGCTTAGGCTTGTCAAGAAACATTGTTAAATGAATTGAACCGGTCACCGCGCGTGTAACGTATTAAGGATGACCGCTGTGCAGTTTATCCGTGGTAGGTGTTACTTACCTGGCGGTGGGCCCACTGCACCTTGACAAGCCGCTTGAAGTTTTGAAGCAAAGATATGCTATTGCGAAAAGGAAAAAAAAAAAGGGCGTGTTGAAATAAAGACATGAAAATGTAGAACCTGTATCAGACTGATTCTTTTTTACAAAATGGCGAGGGAAATCACAATGGGAACTGGTGTCCAAAATCGAAAATCAGCCTCTAGGGCCCAAAATCCAAATCGGCCACTAGGGTCCAAAATCCAAAATCGGCCACTGGTGTCCAAATCCTAAAAAATGCCCACTAGTGTCTGAAATCCAAAAAACGGCCACTAGTGTCCAAAATTCAAAATCGGCCACTAGTGTCCAAACTCCAAGATCGGCCACTGG